TGTTGAACAGCGCATGTCAGTTTGGGCCGACTGATGGGCTGTATAGCGCCGATTCATTGATAACAACGTAGAAATGATAACTTTTTCAGGATAGAATATGATAAAACAGCTCATGGAAAGCGATTTGAATTATACTGTTTATTGATACGTAGTGATGATGTTGAACAAGGAGCAGCAACTTATTTGAGTGCTATGCAGCAAATCGAATTAATGCATCTGAGGAGGGAGAACGTTGAAAGATCATTCGTATGCAAATGTCACTCGCGATTGATTGTGAAATGACCGATCACAATTTATTGATACGTAGTGATTAAGCGAACACTTATTCTCTCGTTCGTAGAATTTTTTTGAAATGATACATTAATAAGGATATTGCCATAATTATATTTTCGTCTCTCTCAAAGTATTTTTAATGACATAATTATCGTAACATATCACTATCACATCACGAGAAATTGACGGTAAGATGTACGTCATTATCAGTTTGAACAAAACTTAATTTTAAAGTGGGGAATAAATTGTTGAGAATATTGCATTTAAATTTAAATGACAATTAAGCGTTCGCACAGCACAAAAAGGCTGCTCGACGTTTGATTGTCTAAAAATGCGTGTTGTGTGTCAGGTGAACACGAGGGCGACAGCGAGGCTATGGTACACTGATAATCTTGCTGCTGTGCTTTTTTAATTATGAACATTGCTCTCATTTTGCGATTCATTAGATATTTACGACAGCTTCATTTCATTTACTTTCAAACTAATCAAATGTCCTTCCTTTCCTACCGAATCCATGCTGATAAACCGCCACAAACTCTCAGCATGAACTGAACATAACCCTTTAAAATTTGTTTGTCACCTGATACCGATAGCAGTTTAGATCCGTTGCAGATTGATGTCGAATTGTATCTCATTTTTATCGCTTGTATTGTTATTGTTTATCAGATCGAATTGTTATTAATCGTCGAACGACTGTATTTTCCAGTGAATATTGTGAATTAATTTCGTGAATAGAAATGTTATGATGAGCTATAGTGGATGAAGAGTGCATAAGAAGTATTTATTAAACTATTGCAGTGAAGAAAGACATTATAGGCAGAAATTGCAGAATGAAGTAGTTTGAAATCTGAATTACTGATGCGATGTGTCACATTTCCATTAGTGATCCTTGCAGGATATCTTATCACATTTTTTATTTTCTAAAATATTGATTATCTGAAACATCACTTGGAGTGTATTCATTTTGTCAATAAACTGTGAAAAAATTGACATATCACACTCTGGAGTATTGTTGCTATTGTTGTTATTATCATTTATCTTTACATCCTCTTCCCATTCATTTATAATTTTTCATTATTGCTGCTATTTATTTTATTTTTATCGTTTGCGTTATGCAAATAAATTTAATGCGTACTTAAATATTTTAAATGTCGGCATCCTTCTAAATGTTGCTTCATTCGGCATATTGAAGGCATTAACTGGTCCCATCCTATAGAAAGCAAATATTTAAGTATGGCATATGCGACACCTTCTGAAAAGGTATGTTTTTCTCCATTTAGAAATAATTCTCGCAACTTATTCCAATAGCCAACGTGTTTTCTGAGGATATTTTGGGATGAGACCAGTTAATTGAAACTGAATAATTTCAAGAAATAAATTAGCCAGCCAAAAAGCATTTTCGAAAAACACTTTTCGAATGATATAAATCAGTGAATGAATACGACGCAAATTAAGTATGCCACGGTTCAACGTAGTGAACGTGATGACTCAGCATTCAAGCGATCGGATAACAACGTCAGACCACAACTGCATAAAATGATCAACGATGCATTAGCTGAATTCGACGACATCGACCAATACGCACAATCTGAAACACCCAAACTCGTCGCCAATAATTCTCAGTTAATCGTTCAATTTTCTCCATTGCCCATTCAGCTTGTTCTTCCCATAGTCACTGGCCAACAGCCGAAGTGTTTTTGAGTTTTCATATCTGTGGTAGAAATACTTCTAGTAATATGGTAAGTAGGCAGGATTATGTGATGATATGACGCACACTTCTACAATATTGATCTTTAGTAACATTTGCTCCAGCATTTTGCAGCAGCCATCCTCTCTTATTTCCATTAGGAAATATTTTGGAACCGTCGAAATTTCAGGCATTCTGCAATAAGCAATTACTTGACATTTTGGCAGACATATTTCATTGACAAATCTCTGTTATAATCCTTCCGAGAACAATTGAAGCTACATACATCCAAATCGATTCAAAAAATTTGGTTCTGCACATCATGTTCACTTCACGTACTTTCATCAAAATCTCATTCTTAATTCGTTGTGGTTGGTAGCCTATTTCAACAGAAATGAATGATCATTAAATCGAGCATTATATATATTTAACCGAGTATTATCTTTGAAAGTATCGTTTGTAAATCTTTTTCGTTTCGATTGAATTTGATGTGTGTTATGCACCAGATGAGTGTTATTGGGGTGAGAAAAAAGGAAGCTATTAAGCTAAGCTTTGACAGAGATTATCATTATCAAATATGGTTATGGGCTCGAAAAGTATGGGCTCGAAAATAACTACTGCTAAATGTCGCATTGGCGATAAGGAAAAACACAAAAAATTATAAATTACATTTTCTATTTTCTTACAATATATTAAGCTTAGTTCAGAGCGTTTTGATGAAAATGTTGTTTTACACGGTGATATCTCGAAGCAACGAGATGGAGAGGAAGAGTAAGGCAGAGACAGTGATGTCCCCATTCAAACTGAACAGCTCTATTTCCGTTCTATTCCTTTTCTGGTCTATCCGCATAGAATTGAACGGTTTCAGAATTTAGGGTGCACGAAGAGGACAGAATAGTCCTAACGCTTAAGCGGAAAACAACGACACTAATGTTCGGAATATGGACCAATTCCCCTTCCCCGGGTGGAAGAATTAGTCCAAAATCTGAATGAGGGCATCAATCATCGTAACAAGTCGTGGGGATGTCATCTTTAAAAAAAAGAAACTCACACTGGATTCATTTATGATTACAAATGTTGCATGTAAAATTTTTGATTGCACCAAAAATAATAAACCAGCGATATTCACTACCCGAAGCTCGGACTTGTATGATTTTTTTTTGCGAAGCCAAAGCAAAATAAATTGCAAAGCCGAAGTGGTAGTCGAGAATTTGGAGCATTTCACATCGTCCAAAGGGAACTCATTTGGGCATTCCATGAAAAGCGATGAGCGCTATTGCGTTCCGCTCACGTTCACGTGCAAGGGAGAGTGTCTTTCAGATGAAACCGAAAGCAAGAGTTCAAAGTTCCTCTAGCGTTTTTAAGTTCATTACAAGTATTTGATGGATTAATATTGTCTCAACAATCTACCTAACACTGTTACCTACTTAAATGTATTTAATCGTTGTGTAAAGTGACGTTGCGGACCAATGAAATTACAATTTAATCTATTATAGTTAGTTTATTCTCTCGCTTCCTTCTGTTCTCTCGAAGTACAACAAATTGCGTATCAGTTCGACACGACAGTATGTATGGAGCCAAACGTTAGTGTTGAATTGTGGAGTATTGTTGATAGAATGTTTATGAAGCGATTGAAAATATAATGCACTGATAGATGAACTATCAAATTGTGTATGTTCATCTCTGTGTGCATTTGTACAGCTAACGATGTTGTGATGAGTACGTCTTATTATGGGGAATAATAGCAGGGAGTGTGGAGTGATACTGAAAGCGACGCGAAGGAATCGAACTGACTGATAAGCGAAGACGACTTGTTGTTGATTTTTTAGTTGATCACAGTTGACATTTTCAATCAACGGTTTATTGTTTACGGCTTATTGAATGATCACTAAACAATAGAGGGATTGATTCGCTGCTCATTTGCAATCTTTATTTGACGGTCTGTCCAAAATTTACAACACTCTCTTTCAACCGCCCGTCTCGATAACATTTCTTGAATAGATCACATGACACTTGCTCTAAGAGTCACTCATCGAATTAGGATGTATGGAACAACTTGGTCAGTTCATCAGAAATTAAAAAGAACAGTTAACAACAGTTTTCTAGCAAAAAAATCAGAACGTAGTCGATAGACAAAGATTGTGAAGGAATGATAGAATACACACAAAAACTACTGTGCTGATGAACGAGGAGCTCATCAATTGGTTCATGCTGATAGAGTGTCTGGTGAGGGTATGCGATGGAACAGACACTGCTCCAGAGAAAATGAACCTATTTTAAAGTGGAACGTGAATGTTAATCTGTTGCATACATGAACGTCTTTCTTCACAACTTCACTTGAACGTTCCATAAATTCCAACTTAATTTTTTTCACGAATCTAAACAAATANATTTACGTAAACGGATATACATTGTAATGATTTACAATTTTTGTACAACTGGAAAATCTTCAGATTAAATTTACGGTGAATTTGTTCATAAAAATTAAAAATGATTTCATTTCCGTAAGCTGTGCAATAGGCTGCTCAACACAGTCGCATTCACTTTTCAGCAACAATTTATGATAACAATATTACCAATAATTGGTGGAGTGGTTTTTTTTGCCAACAAAGTATTTTCACTAGAATCAAATAATGGTGAAAATAATTAAAATTTTTTAGTCACAGACTGAGTGAAGAGATCGATCGGTCACAGCGAAAGAAGACTTGTTCCCTTGCACGTGTTGCAGAAGACTGGAATGGTGATGCCGACAAAGAACAGCTTTCCGTGAAGAAGGGTGAAATACTCAAGGTTCGTTTCAATCATCAATATCGATAAATCACTTAATGCGGAGAGTTTTTATCATTTTGCACACAAAATACAATGCAGTCTCATAGGTCTGATGTAAATAATGCACCATTGAATCTGTGCAAATTTCAAAGCAGTAATGAATGAACTACGAAAGAAATTTCTCGTTCATAATGTTCAGATTATTGAAAAGCAACGAACAGTGTGTAAGTGTATGAATATGGCGGGGGAAATCGGATGGGTACCAACAGAGAACTTAGCCCGAACAAACGTCAAGAGACACTCAGCACATTGATTGTACAGTTACTGCTTTGATTCAAATATCCAATAAATTATTTGTCTCATGAATATTTGCAAGGCTTGACAACGTCTTGAAAGGACACGCGATTAAGCAATCCACTTACGATGATTGATCTCAAAATGACATTGCTACGCAATCAATTTCAGCCTACACTAACAACAATCTTTATTTGAAAACTTCGATAGTTTTCTTTCGCATCAAATTTATGCATTCCACGTATCATTCATCATTTTAGATTTGATGATACTTTACAAAAAACAATTCATTAAATAAATCTGATGTTAACAAAGAACAAAAATTTCCGAACAAAGTGAGCAAAAATGATGACAATCGGGTGAAATCAGATGAACATTAATTAGGGATAAGACGAAAAATTACCGACTGAATAAGAAGAAATAATTCGAACTGATAACAACATAATGATACTCTTTTATTCGATTCGATGATGCTGATAAGTCATTTAGTTTCTCTTCGAAATATTCCTAAAACAATATTCAAACTTCAAGAAACAATAACAAAACAAAATACTGCAACGTTATAATAACTGAATACGACATGTCCACAAAAAAAAACAAAAAATTTTGCTCAAAACTGTCATAAAAATCTAACGACGATAACTGCAAACAGATGGCATTAGATTCAATCAAATTTGTTCTCATCGTAAATTTTGTGATCACAGAAGACAAACTGCCGTCATTTGAGAATATTAGATCGCTTTCATCAAACTCAGACGTGTTCTCTGATAACTGTGGCACAGCACTCAAGTACGCACGGAAATTATTACCTCACGGAAGATAAATTTGACACTTTCTACGTAATGAATTTCAACCTACACTAACATCAATCTCTGATTATCGCAAATATACAAAATATGTTTAATTATCAACATTGGAACAATATCTGTCACAGATAATAGATATTCTAACAAACATTTGATGAAATATATGGCGATAAACATCACGATGAAATAATTACCAAATTATTCATCACCTGATACGGAATTTTGAAAATACGTCACTTTGTAGGCACAACAAAAGAATCTGAGAGAAACTATTTCTAATTTTAAAAAAAAGCGATAGTCAACAACCACAGCTGATCGATCTATCAGCGATACTTCAAGCAATCATTTCGATGAACCTATCATTCTTTAAAGAGATCAGTTTCGTGGATTTACACGCCTCTTGTTCTAGCGTTTACAGTTTTTTGAATCAACCAGTTATTTCGTCAATTCTCACTCAATTACACTTTTGTCAGAAATTTTGCGCGCATATTGAATTCGTCGTTCAGTTTACGAATAATTTGTAAGACGAACAATAGATGGATGACCCGTGTATATGTAAAAGACAAAATAAAAAGATATTCGAAGCGCACAAATCTATCCATCTAAACGAAACAGTGAATAATAACAATACAGTTTCATCTTCAACTAGCATTCGCACCACCAAAATCAAAAGATGTCGGCACGGGTGCGTTCACATTGAACACATAACCACCCTGTTGTTCGACCTTCTTACTGTTCGCTAACGAAACTCGTTGTTCACACACGGTTAATATCTTCTGAAATGCTGCCATCTTCTGCTCATCTCCACACTCCATCAACGCCATCAACAGACCCTCGTCACATTTTTGTAAAGCTGCAAAAAGATCACTCTAATGGACAGTGTTCACTGCAGTATAGATCATACGATAAGCATCCGCATTTTAAACCTACCGGTGGGCTAAGATCGTTCATTGCTTTAACATGCAATGAATAATAAAAGTTATCAATAAATTAGCGAAATGGTATAAAACGTAGTCTGCGATAAATTTCGTTTAGTTCTCGGTTTTGGCGCAAATTACACTCATCAATGTTACATGATGTAACTCCACTTTGTAGATTTCATCTAACGCAGCACGCACGAACACTATCGGTTTATGATAGATTGTTAAACATGGCACAACAAATAATAACACTAAATGTAATTTAAAGAATCTGTTTTGCGCAGAAATAAACAAATTTTCCAAAAAATTATTAATTTTCTTCCTTTTAACTTAATGGAATGTTTCGATGAGAACACTTCTTAATTGCACTTTCACGGTTTTCAGTCGAATGAATTCTCTGAATGCATACTGTAATTGCAAGTAAAGGAATCAGTCACCTTCCAAAGTCTCTTTATAAACGACAAATGCATCGATGATATCGTCATCATCAATTGGTGTATAATATCCTTCTATTGAGTCATCATCCCAGTCTTCATCATCCTCTTCTTCCGAATCGCTTTCTTCTGTATCACCGCTGTTCGTTTCACTTTTCTGCAATATTCCATCCATATGTTTAAATGCACATTAAGCCGTGTAAGCAAGGAGCATTCAACGATTCTTCCACGATGAAATACAATAGCGAAACGCATTCAGCTGGAGGGATGTCAATGGAACTAAATTATTCAATCCAAATGCAACGGAATATAATCGACGACACAAAACAAAATGACAATGAACCCTTTCAGCTTTTTTCTGGTGCTTCGCAAGTGTCTCGAGATACTCCAACGTTCCCTCATCAATTTCGTCCTCACTATCGCCCAAATCCTCTTCTCGTTCTTCATCATCCTGCAACTAATCTCAGCCTCAAAAACCAATCATCCAGTGAACACAACTTAAATAATACAAATGATTTATTTATTTATTTATTTTCTCAGCTATTATTGTACATTTCCTACATAAGCCTCCAAATAATTCGTTACTAATCATTTGTATTGCAAAATACAAATGATTAGTATTATTTTGGCTGATTCCTTTATCAATAATTCCCGAAAAAGCAAAAGCAGAAATGCGTGCAAAAATTGAAGACGTAATCTATGTATCATGTTTGTTATCAATGCTACAAGTGACGTGTTTGAAGACGTTGTTACAAGAGATAAAGAATGCAGGAAACATTCTCAGACTCAAATAACACTGACATAAGCAAAAAAAAAAATCATCATCAATATGAATTATTNCACTGACATAAGCAAAAAAAAAAAATCATCATCAATATGAATTATTACACTCACTTCACTGTTATCCTGTTCTTGACGTTTCTCTTCCGCTAAACGATTTTCAGCTTGGCTTTTCATCGCCTTTTGCAACGCATCGAGTAATGCAACTATCGTTTCGTTGACCTGACAGTGATGACAATTTAAAAAAAAAAACAAGTTGGAACGTTGTATTTCTGTGAGAAATGAATGAATTTGGTAAACTGCGAAAAAGATTGTTTATTGATAGTGCACTCGTCGCATAATTCAGAACAAATCAATACTTCACACTTCTCGGCAACAATTAAACGAGAAAAAAGTGGAAATGATGAATGAATACATAAGTAGCTAAAGCGCATAGATGAGTGCCGTGCGTATGAGAAGTACCTTTGATGCTTGCTGCTGAAGGAGTGATGGTCTCAGTTGTGGTGTGAGCTTTGTTAACGCACAAAACGCGATTATTGCCATTTTACGATCGTGAATTCCGCTCAGCTTGGGCGCGATCGAGATGAGTTCACTGAGCAGGTAATTGAGTGTGTTTGTACCATGTGGCTGCATTCGTGGCAATAAGCTAATGAATAATTCCGTATTGTAATAAAGACTTGCACAGAGTACCTTAATAAAATCCTTTTAATCTAATTAAATCGGCACTGGGAGCAAAAATTTCCAAGAAGTTAGCATTTATTCAAAATATTTGAATAATTGCTTATCAAAATAATTCAAATCATTTAATAGTAACAGATTTGCTGATGATGTTGTCCAGTGCAATGAAACCTCACTAGAGCAATGCTCAATACTCAACACATATTGCCACGGTAGGAATGTTCAAGGTTGATTAAAATTTTTGGAAACTGTAATTACTGCCATTCCCTACCGTATTCTAAGGAGATGTCATGCTCCTTGTGCCCTTGTGGCAGGAATCAAACGAACGATCAAAAATCATCAAAAACAGCGCAAGAAAGAATCTAATTCATTCAATTTGACAATGCCTGCATACATTCTCAAAGGCAGGTTAATCATAAGAAAAATCGATCACCTCAAAAGTGAATCGGTCATTCCTCACGCACAAATGATCATTCAAAAACGTTCAGCAAATCAACTGCATATTACAAAAACGAATGAGAAATGAACAAAAGTAAAAATACTGCAAATAACAAACCATTACAAGCATCACTTTCAACTCTTTACCATCTTCAAACGGTTGATGCAATCTTGTTATCACCAGCTGTATTATATCAGGTACTAAGTAATCAATTCGACCCTAAATCAATGAACAAATCAACATTACATTATTGATGGCATCGATAGGTTCCTAAATAAAACTCATTATGACCAACTCTACACTTTCACAGCGTTCATTCTTGTATAGCAGTAAAATAAAATGAACGATGTAAAAGAGAATGGCAGCGTACTGTCGATTAGAGTACTGACAATAATAAGATCGATGATCATAGACTCAACCTGGCACTGCAAAATAAGGCACTCAAGCATTTTGGCTGCATGTATCTGATCGTCCTCACTGAACTCTTCTTTGAACATATTGACAACCATTTCAACGAAAGCATTCACTCTCTCAGGTCTTGCCAAAAAACTGTCCGTGTCGACCGTTAGGTATGAATGCAACACAGGCATCATATCTGCAAACAACCCAGCTTTATGATTATATCCAACTAAAACTCATCATTCAATAAACAACACCATTTGTTGCACTCAATCTGAACATAATTAAGTAACAATATTGATAAAAGATTGCAAAAACTGATTATCGAAAGCAATGCACGAATAAAATTTCATAATTGTCTGAATGCAAGCTCATAACTCTATCAATATGAATCACTGACATACTCAAAACAAAATTTATAAAAAGATCTACGTAAATATTCCCTTAATATCATCTAAAATGAGATTTTCATAGAAGTATTACCAACGAAAAGTGATCCCCCTTCATTCACTGCCACCTTGTGTATTTCAAAGAAAATCTGCCACATTGGTTCACTGACAGAAGTGAGTATGAGCGAGTTGATCAACGCTAGAATCTCTTCGAAATAATCTGAAAAATGGATGTCATCAAACAGTCATCTCGTTCGGATACTACTTATCCATAGCCGTTCATCGTATCCTTGGCATTCATCAAACGGTTGCGTGGTGCGAAACAGCTATTTGAGAACCAATTTCATCATTTCAAACGCAACAAATCACAACAAACAAATAATTACATCGAAGTTCTTAAATTCAAACTATGTGGTTTATATGAGCGAAATGATAAACGTTTTGAAAAGCTGATCAACACTGAAAAGTATTTCCAGTTTGAATTCAAATGAACTATCGCATCAAGTGTTAGTCCGTACACACACATTTGCAGCGAATGTCTAAAATATTGCAAAATCAAATTTATAAGAAAATGTAACGTAACCAAAATCAAACCTATTTGGTAGTTCTCGAGAACAGATTTAATCACTCGAATGACTTGCACCTCAATGTGATGCATTATTTCTTGATTATCTTCAACAATTTCCAGTACTGAGCCAAGCGTTGACAGTATTCCCATTATCGTCACTGTCCTATCTTCTTCTTGATTCTCGTTCAGAGTCAATTGCAAGAAGATATTCGCCTTTAATCATTCAATCAAACATTACGCTCTAATAGTTGATGTTTTCTTGCACTTTTATTCGATCTAACGAAAAAGAGATAATACTCGTTCATTAATATCATACAACCAACANCCGATTGACGGTAAATAAACAAGGATGCAACCATGAGTACATCTCAATCGAATATGCATGATGGTCAAAAAATAAGAAACAAACCAGTTCAGTGGTGACATCGAGAGCAATCGGGATAACGTCCTCAACGTACTGATCTATAACCTCATCCATCACTGCAGTCATTTCTTCGATTTCAGCACGTGCCACCAAACGAAGAACCTCGAGTATGACGACTCGAATGTGCGGTTTGATCATTGCATGAACTTAATTTAATCATTACATCATATTCTATTAGTAATAATACGATCATCAATTGCGTTACTATTCTCACAAAGCGATCATTATTTCATTTCGTTCACATTCATATACATTTTGAGGTTGGCTTCGTTTCATTTGATCACTTCTGAATAACAAGCTGAACATTTACGATCATATTTTATTCTCCATAAGTCATCTAACTTGGATATCAAAACGTGTGACGGAGTAGAGTTGATTGATACTTTGCTTCATAATCTCAAATTGAACGCTTCAATTTGATTAGAACATCAACTGCTTCTCTTTAATAGCTTTATAAATAAACGAATGAGAGCAACTTAAAAGTTGTGCCAGCAAAACAACGAACCTTTTTGCTGATCATGTAAAAGTGCTTGCACAGCAATTGCAGCCTCCACTTTAACAGGTAACTCCTCGTTTGCATCAGCCAATCTTGTCACCAGTGCATCAACTATTTTATGCATTATGCCAGCCGATGTGAACTTTGCTTCTGAGAATTTCTGTAATCGATATGAATATGTACAGATAAACTGATCAAATTCAACCGAAACGAAGAGGAAATAAACATACTTGAATAGCCCAGCACGCAGTTGCACGCAGGAAACGAACCGGATTTGAAATGCGAGGTACAATGACGGCATCGATCAACTTTTCAACATCTTTCTTGTATAACTACAATATGTAATATGAATGCAGTAATCTAAAAAGCACTGAATACTACATTATAGAAAAGATAAATGAATAGACCTTATTTTTATTCAATGCTGACGACAATTCACCAATAAGTCGCAATGCACCGTCTTGTTCACGAGCATCTGCTTCGTTCGAATTAAGTACTTGCAATAGAAATTCCAATATTGGTTGTAACACATTCTTTCGCTTTGAAGTTGCTGTCAAAACGGTTACAGCAGCTACAGCAGGATTGTATAGATCGCCAAATAAATCTCAAACGATCACATATAATTGTACAAAGTGAAATATACAATGGGAACGTTAAAACTAACTGCTACGATAGCACGTAAGGAAATTATTATTCTCTACTAATATTCCAAATATTATTCAAAGAAACTACTGCCACACACCATATTTAAATCGAACATATTCTTCCGGTGAATCGTTCCATAATTCTTCATCATCATCCGAATGTTTCAATAGCGGGAAGATGATCGTTTGTATCATTTCCTATTAGTTCATTATTTTCATAATCATGAAGGAAACGCTCTAAGTGATCAAAATTCTTACAACAATTGAACAAGAGCAGTTCTTTATAAACTATACCTACCGATAAATAGCAAATTTCATATCCAAGTTAAAGGTAATAATCACCTGGCAATGGGGTTTAATCACCTTCCAAGTATGTGACTGAGATACCGCAGTACCAATGTATTGAAGAATTGAATTCAAAACTCTCGGTGAAACGAATTCACCATTTCGGTAGCGATTCAACACATTCAAACACGTGTTCACGGTAGGAACTGCGAAATGTGTGACGTAGTTGTCGGCAAACTGTGCGTAGTCACTCTCAACTTGTCCTGGAGAACCGTATCTGAAATTTTATTTTATCACAATACATCTGATCGTTACTTAGTTATAATCATTATCAGTTACTTACAGACATTCTTTTACATGACTTATGAGCATTACAATACCAACTACCGCATTAACTTTGATACGAGTGCTGTTCTGAATAAATTTGCAAATCGAATGTACTAAAAAACCACTGCAAACTACAGTTCTTAGAATACCTTTAAAAAGGATGAAATCAAATATGTAATGTTGCCATTGTTCAATAGAGAAACGACGGAATCGAACAAAAGCAAAAAAAAACCTCTCAAAAATGCGATGCGTGGTGGCACTCGCCCACTTTTTGCACTTCCACCAGACAGTTCTCTGCCTGTCATCCTCATCAATATTATTCACTTCTGCCGGCACAGGTCTTTCGATAACAATTCGTAACTGCTCAAGCCACTGTCCCAATGCATTCATATCCATCATTTCCAGATTCAATGAGAACTGAATGTTCTCTCAATTATTATCACTCAATTAGCAAACTGATTTAGTTTGAAAGAAAAACAGAGGAAGACTGCTGCTCATTAACCGCATTGTTGATCAGAACACAGATATATCCTATTTCTAATTTTCACTTCACCATCGATGCCTATGAGCGTTAATGCTAAATCAGTGTAAATATTGCAAAAGAATGAAACAATACACAATAAAAGCAGTTTATTTCAAATACTCATTCGTATGTGAAATGAAACGCTTGTATACTATATATCAATAATTCTATACCTGAACAAGGCCATAAAATATTTTGAGAATAATCTTTTGAAGAAGACACGATTCTTGAGATGCGTCCGGCATTAACGTTACCAATCGATCTAACAACATCGGCAATAGAACACTCATTGTTTCAACTAAAGGCTTCTTTTCCTTTACACGACGATATCTGAAATCAAGTTAATGATATATTTTAGTCAATTTCATCGGTAATTTTTAGAAGATTCAGCTGGAATCCGATTATCGTCAAGTAATTGTTCAAACGTAAATGCAAATGAACAGATCGACTCGAATTCAGCTAATTCTGTGATGTCAAAATTTCTAAAAATTGCGTTATTGAAAGAGTGATGAAATCAACTGAGATTACGAATCAAACATACATTTTTGCATTCCAAATTATGACCTCACTTGTTCTCTTAATAAACCAGTATGAAAAGAATTGAAAATTGCGGAAGACGTCACCAACAAATCACTAACTCATAGAGTTTAACCAATCTTCGCAGAACAAGAAGTGCACCCAGCCAAGACGGTCCATCAACCGAGTGGAGTAACGTAGTCACCTTTTGGGGCAGATGTGGCCATTCCTTTGGAAAATCATGTCTCATTATGGTTCCAATCGCCGTACACAACTGTACTCTGAAACGAGCATTTGCCTGAATAAACGATTTTCTCTATAAATAGTCTTAGTGAATTGAATACACCGTTTGAGAGATTCAATGACGTTTAATAGATAAACAAAAACAAACGAAATATGCACCTGATTGCTTCTGGAGACGCAACGATGGCGTCTATGATGTGTTCACGAATGATATGTTTATCTTGTTCAGAAAGAACAAACATTCCTGAAGACTTCTCGTCTTCGTCCAAAGCCCAACTCCTTCAAAACAATTTTTAATTCAAAAAATGAACTAAAATTACTGCACCTCTTATATCAACACACTAAGAGGAATTATAAAATACAAACTGAAGTGTTTTCTACGAGCCAGCAGAAGAACAAAAAGAAACAATAATGATGCAGTAGAAAACATTGACAAATTAATACCTATTAATGACATTTTTTAAGTAAATCACGGCTGCTTGACGTGCCGAACAATCAACACCTTCATCCATTATAATTTGCAATAATAAAGGTGCAAATCCCATCAGCTTGGTTGCCTTCAAAGAACTTAATTTTTCAGAAAACTTCAAAGGCTAGATTACTACAAAAAAAACAATGTGGTGTTCCTTTGGCAGGATTTTCAAACGAAGTAGAATTAAAATTATTTGCATTTTGATACAGTTGAACGATATTAAAGGTTAGAAATACTGCGACGGAACTGGAAAATAAAATAAGAATAAGCGAATACAAATGAGCAAATGATCAAGTAGGGGTACAACACAGCATTTGAACATAATAACAAGAAAACTGACACGATCAAGATATGCTGTTGCCTCTTTTTGATCAGTTGATGAGGTGGTAGCTTGAAGAGCACGGACAACTCCATCACGTTCCATCCCTACAGCCAATTATTTCTATCGAAAACAATCCACAATTTTATTGTTTCAACGCTTGCTATTTATTACCCACCTCAAAAACACTTAAATGTTTTGACTGAAAAAAAACGAATTGGAATAACTGTGAACGTTGGAAATTGAATTAACACAATACACCGGAATCATGACCAGCTACTCCTAGATGAGAGCATGAATCTATTCCAAATTAATCACGGAATGAACAAATTATTGTTTAGTCATGGACATGGAACGACAAATAAATAACTTAATCACGGAATGAACAAATGTTCAGGACATAGAACGACTCGTTCGCCCGATAACAAATAGAATGAACGTTGAAAAAAGCTTCACACCGAACAGTTTTACTCAATGAACAATAATCATCGATATTATCATTAGTGCTATTGTAGCTATCACTATTATTATCACATCAAAGCTGCTGAAATGGACAATTTATTGGCTAATGATCCTCAAGCGACCTCAACGAACATTTGTTATGATCCTCAAACGACCTCAACAGAAACATCCAGAAATTTGGGACTTTGAGAATTCTAATTTCGAACCAATAACCATCCCATCCCTACTTCAAAGTGTTACTCAATGTTACGCGAAATAGTCACTGCGAACAGGCTTCGTAGGGTCTAGGGTAACTGACAGCACGACAAATGACCAAGCGACAATTGTCAGCACGACGTTTGTCCAACACGTAGTCGGTCACACAAACTTCGTTTAGGTTCGCTTTTGAGCACACGATCACCATTTTGTGTGTGATATAAAAC